ATAACTATCGGGGAAAAATTTAAATATTGGCATTTCTCTAATCCCTGCAACACAATAATAGTCTATTAAAGCTTTTTCTGTCAAAGCTGCTGTCTTTAAAAACAAATCAAACAGTGGCAATATCCACATATAAAACTATCATTTATTCTTAAAGGGGTCATACTATGATTATATAGGGTATTTGGTGCTGGTCCTTAAGGTCTCTGAATGGGGTCTGTAACATTGGTTGGGCTGAAAATGGCATATAGACGCTGTTCTATGAGCCCTAATGCAAGCCTGGTTATAAGCCCTAGGATGAAACAACAGGTTTTCCTTTTATGGTATGCTCATGAATATTTAGATGAGCTGTGCGCTGATTGGTTGGTTTACAACGAGAGAAGCTGCTGATTAAAGACTGCTGAGTAAAGACGCATAATAGCAACAAGCACTCACTCACTGAAACATCGAAATTGTTGATATGGTAGGGTGACCCGACATCCTCCTTTTCCCGGACATGTCCAACATTTCATAGCTAAAAAAAAAAATTTCCGGGTGGAATTTCAAAATCGTCTGGCATTTTGGTCAACTATAGTGCAACACGTAGTCGAAACAACAATACAATAGCTGGGTATAGAATGCTGCAATGCAGTTGCTCAGTGCTGTTGGACAGAAAACTTTGATTTATAGAATTCAAATAAACGTTTTTATGTATAAATGCAGTACTTTATAAAAAGGTGTCTCACAAAAGTTGTGAAAATAGCAGATCTATACATATAAAGCTTCCATCGTAAAGCAAACATTTCCTTCTCTACTATGAATGATGCATTAGACACAGATCAATAAAATCTTCATTGCTCCAAAAAAGCAATGAACAAAACATTCTTTTTTCTACTTTGGCAATTTTGGCTTTATTTCTGAGAATTTTTCCCTTATTTACCACTGCTCATGGGTCAAAGTAGATTTAAATTCACAGGGTTTTGATATACAAAAAATACAGAGAGAACCTACATAATTTCCTTGAAATGCCAATGCAGGACCATAAATGAAATGATTTCTTCATCCTCATCGTTGACGAAAATAAGGACATTCCACCATCCTTTGACCATACGCTTCCCCTTCAAATCTGAAATAGTCTATGCATTTGTTGTCAAACAAATCAGAAGATGTGCCCCTCTCTTTGCATTTTATCTGTCTTTCTCTAGAAGAAGAGGCAACTGGAGAGAATGAAATGGAGATACATAGGGCATCAGACTGATTGATTGACTTTATTGATCTCACAGTGGATAAATTTTCTTCTTGGCTAGATAGTCAAAAGGAATAGGGTGAAAAGGAGGTAAAGATCCATTGGGGTATATAGAGATCCAGATGGTGTGATGTGTGATGGCCCCAGAGTACTCAAAACCTGCGCAGGAAAGCTCTGGGGGATTTTTACAGCACCATCCCTACCTTTGCCTGACCCAGGAGGTGGTTCCAGTGCTGTGAAAGAATTCCTGCCTTATTCCAGTACCAAAGAAAACTCAACCATCAGTCCTCAATGATCATAGACCTGCTGTCTTGACAACCCACACCATAAAGGTCTTTGAGAGACTTGTGCATGACCACTTGAGCAAGCAGAAAACTGGCTATCAGTACCCCACTGGTTTGCTCAACGCTGTGAAGATGGAGTTGAAATGCCATCACCTGCCTAAATAAACGACTGACAAATCGACAAGGCAGACAACACTGTGAGGATCGTGTTCAATGATTTCTCCAGTGCCTTTAACAAGAGCATGATTTACTTAAATCAAGAAGAGTCAAGTAGAGGCATCAACAGTGGCATGGATTAAAGATTACCTCACATACAGACCTCAGTTTATGAACTTGAAGGGGGTAACTGTCTAACCAGGTAGTCAACAACACCGGTGCACCAGAGGGGACAGTACTCTCACCATTCTGTTGTACTCTGTTGAGCTCTGACCTACAGTACAAGATAGAGTTCTGTTATATGCAGAAATACTTGAATAACTCTTCAATCACTGGGTNGCTTCCCCTTCAAATCTGAAATAGTCTATGCATTTGTTGTCAAACAAATCACAAGATGTGCCCCTCTCTTTGCATTTTATCTGTCTTTCTCTAGAAGAAGAGGCAACTGGAGAGAATGAAATGGAGATACATAGGGCATCAGACTGATTGATTGACTTTATTGATCTCACAGTGGATAAATTTTCTTCTTGGCTAGATAGTCAAAAAGAATAGGGTGAAAAGGAGGAAAAGATCCATTGGGGTATATAGAGATCCAGATGGTGTGATGGCCCCAGAGTACTCAAAACCTGCGCAGGAAAGCTCTGGGGGATTTTTACAGCACCATCCCTACCTTTGCCTGACCCAGGAGGTGGTTCCAGTGCTGTGAAAGAATTCCTGCCTTATTCCAGTACCAAAGAAAACTCAACCATCAGTCCTCAATGATCATAGACCTGCTGTCTTGACAACCCACACCATAAAGGTCTTTGAGAGACTTGTGCATGACCACTTGAGCAAGCAGAAAACTGGCTATCAGTACCCCACTGGTTTGCTCAACGCTGTGAAGATGGAGTTGAAATGCCATCACCTGCCTAAATAAACGACTGACAAATCGACAAGGCAGACAACACTGTGAGGATCGTGTTCAATGATTTCTCCAGTGCCTTTAACAAGAGCATGATTTACTTAAATCAAGAAGAGTCAAGTAGAGGCATCAACAGTGGCATGGATTAAAGATTACCTCACATACAGACCTCAGTTTATGAACTTGATGGGGGTAACCAGGTAGTCAACAACACCGGTGCACCAGAGGGGACAGTACTCTCACCATTCTGTTGTACTCTGTTGAGCTCTGACCTACAGTACAAGATAGAGTTCTGTTATATGCAGAAATACTTGAATAACTCTTCAATCACTGGGTGAATTAGAGATGTAAAAGAGGCTGAGGACAGGCAGCTATGGACTCATTTTGTGGTATGGAAAAAATCATCTTATCCTGGATGTGAACAAAGCAAGAGAGTTGATGGTAGATTTTAGAGGAGGAACAAGTCAAATACTATTGACATCATAAGAGATTAAGAGAAGGTACTGGAGGGGTACAGATACCCTGGTGTTCACCTGGAAAATAAACTCAACTTGAAACCCAACTGTGAAGCCATCTACAATAAGGGACAGTTTAGACCATACTTACTTAGTATTTACTGTAAGATGCTTCATATTGATTTGTTGTGGAGAGTGTGATCTATTCTGCCATCATCTGCTGGGGTAAAATCATCAGAGAATTACTGACAGCCTTGACCATCCTCTTCATCAGACTGTTAAATAAGAACTGTAACTTTGGTAAGAGGCTTATCCAGATCATATGTAAGACAGAATTCTACAGGAGATATTTGCTGCTTACAGCTATCAACATATATAACAACTTATTAAAACAATCAGGTAAAGTTTCCTTTGAATTTTTTTTTTTAATAATTTGAATTGATGATGAGCTTGATGACTTTACTTCTGATAGCAAACATCATGGCCTTTATCTTAAGAAATTTCAAGACTCAGATGAAGTATACCATAAGAATACTGTTTAAGACAGTCAGCACCCAATCATATTAGTTACCTTTTTTTGCATGGCAAAAAACCTTCAAAGCCTTTAGCATAAAACTCTACAAGCATCAGTAATTATTATTTTCACCAGAGCAAATAGAACCCTGTGGCACAACTTTAGTGGTGTTTATGAAATCTGATAGCAGATCACTGTGTTGCAAACATTGCTTAATATTTGATAATCTGCAACTCTTTGCATTGTTTGATAAACCAATATGTAATAGCTTTTAGTGAGGGGTAGTTTAATCAACTGTGCAAAATGCTTCACATGTCAAAGGAAAGAGCAACACAGTAGTAAATAGCATCAAATGCTTCAGTGATGTTATTTAAAACTTTTGTAATTGCTTTAACTGTACTGTGTTGTTTATCTAAAACCAGTGTACATTTGAAATATTAATTCTAATACACGTGAAAAAGGTTTTCTTTTGGGAGGGTTTATCACGTGAGGAAGTGAGAGGTTGGCCATTAACAACAACACTTTTAAAAAACTTTATCTGCCAGGGGTATGAATAAATTGGGACGTAATAGTAGGCTACCTTTCAAATACTTTTTCCTAAAATATATTCTGGGAACCACTGATGCAGAGGAAAAAGTTAGCAAATAGACCAAACACGTCTTCCTGCCTCTGCAGAAATTCTTGGATGAAAAAAATCTAAAGTACACCCCTAGAAATAAGCCCCTTGTTGCATTTCTCTCCCAAACAGACAGAAAAAGTTACTATATGTCAAACATAATTATTACTCTGCAGCCAGGACCAGAATTTAGAATCTGAGCTTTGGCTCTGACACTGCATGCCACCTGCACTGACTGCAAGCTGCGCACGCATGGCACGCTGACATGCAGTTAAGAGTCATTGATCTACATGCACGCACCAAAAGCAATGCTACAAATTGTTGTTCTCCGTGCTAAGACGCACCAGGCAGCGGGGTGACACTCACATGTGGATCCACAAACGCTGGTGTTGCGCCTCCGTTTTGCTTGAAGAAGCAGAAAGAGGCGATATGAGGGAGCAATGAAAAAGAGGGGTAAAAAGAAGGCAGGACAACGAGGGAGGGGATGGATGGATGGATGGATGGATGGATGGATGGATGGATGGATGGATGGATGGGGAAATGCAGAGGGAAAGGAGCGAGAGAGCTGAGTGGTTCTGGTAAATATTTATATTCGTATGATAATACAGAGAGGGAGACTGAGAAAGGTGGGGAGATAGTGAGAGCGTCCCATCCCTTTATTAATTTTATTCCGGACCGCTAAGTTTAGCATTCAACACGTGTCGCCTCAGATGGAGAGGCAGGGAGGGAGTAAGGGGGAGGAGGGGAGAGATACAGGGGAGAGAGGGAGGTTGACGGTTGCTAGGTGACGGGGCGCATATACTGAATTTTAACAAAAGAAGAGGGAAAGAGGGAGAGCTAGAGAGAGTGCGTGAGAGAGAGGAGAGAGGGAGCGAGAGAGGTGAAGAGAGAGATCAGGAGAAATTGAATACATGTAGAACACATATATTTATACAGATTTATATTTTCACAGCGTGCGTGTCTGTGTGCGTGTGTGCGCGTGTGTGGCGACGGCGGTGTTTGTGGCGAGGGACACCCGCAAAACGGATACCTCAAAAAGCAAGGATGTGAAAAAGGATGGAGGGACGCAGGAAGAGAGGGGGGAAAGGCTGGTGAAATTCAGTAAGTAGATTTTTGTTTGATTTGGTTCATATTTGCAGTGCGCATTTTTTATCCAAACACGCACACAGACTCTCCGCTGCTGCTGCTGCTGCTTGGGATTAATTGCGGCTTGGGCAGTGAGAGGATGCTGCGCGTCATTGACATGGAATAGATGAGCAGACGGATGTCAGCGTCCGTGTGTAGGGACGCTGGTGATGGAGAGAAGGAGGTCGGAAGCAGCCGGCTCGCCGGGGCTTTGACCCCTCTGTCATTGCTGCGCCCGAAAAACTCACGGGCGCAGATGGGATAGAGGCTCATGCACACAGTTTACCGGCAGTTCAATTAGTCATGCAAGGACCTTGAGGCTGCACCGACCCAGTCTTTCGGGGAATGTTTGGAAATAAAGACAGAGTTTAAGAGGGAAATAGGCAACAGTTTTCAGGTTTTACTTTGCTGCGGATGTTTTAATTGATGTTCATTTTCTCTTCGTTCTTGCTTGTTGCGCTAATGTGTGTTTCGTTAAAAAAAAAAAAAAAAAAACATCATGATATTATGATCAGTTTTTCCTGCTTCCTATCTATTTATATCCCGAATATTTGTATGTATGGCGGCCAATGGTTATCCCCTCTGTTGCCACCTAAGAATCTTCAGACATCTGGAACCGACGCAGTTTTACTTATTTATTTATTTTGTTAACGAGTGTGTGTGTCTCTTTGAGATAAAGATCTTAATTAATTTGGTTGTCCATGATAAGTTTTGATTGCCAGACAGTAATTTGAATTTGTTTTCTGGTCTAAAACAGAGGAGGGGTGGCCTTGGACTGTAAAGACCACCAAGGGAGAACATGATTATGTTGACCTGTAAAATGGAGAGGCACAATGTTTGCTACTCTCTCAGATTTACTGCAGTGCTTCAGAATGATAATGTCAAATTTATAGGCCTGCACTGGGAGGCCATTTGATCTAGTTGTAATTGAAATAAATATGTTTCTATTCCCTTCCTTATTTCTGTCTGAATTGCATTATCTGCTTTACTCCCAGATGATCTATTCACTTCATCATTTCCCTCTACAAGCCCCCCTCTTTTGAAATGTGTGCGCACATGCAGGCATACTGCAGTAGTGCACTGCATGCACTGCTGCCCCTGAAGTGCTGCCTTCAGTGTCCCCTTCCTTGCTGAACGGTCACCCAGAGATCTGTACTGTACCAGCTGTTGTAAGAAGAGGTGGTGGGAATGGAGGTGAGAATAGAGAATCAGTCAGATGGTGTGAGGATAACGAGGACTTGGATGGAAGGCATGCAGAGGGTGGCAAAGTAAAGCTGGCTTGAACTGGGTCTCAAAGGGATGCACCTGGAAAGAGAGATATAAGGAAGAGAGGAACATTTGTGAGCTTGTTTTCTCCAACTCTATGCTCCTCATCAATTTCATCCCATTGATTCTCTGACTTCAGTCCAGAAAAGCCTCGAGTTCATAGCCCAATCCACTCCACTTCCTCTTATTTCCTTGTTTCTTCCTTCTTACCCCTGCTTTTTCTGGCCCAAGTCTTTTATATCTTCTCCCCAGCCCCAACCTGTGACTTCCTCTGCACCGTTTTATTCTCCCGCCTCCTCCCCCTTTCATCGTAGGTTTGATGCAACATCAGTGGGTTGTTTCCTCAATCCGCATCAGCCCACCCAGACCCCCTCTTTTCCATTCCTCACCCTCTCCACATGTGCCACACAGTGTTCTTTTAATACCACTAATTAAGGTAAAGCTCGTTAACATAGAACATCAATTAGCCTTTAACAAGATCAGAGGCGGCTGTTTTGGAGCGATTACAATACTTTCTTCTCCCAGGGTGCATCTCTGGACTCTTCTGCAGACTGTTGGAACTATGGAGTTCTTAGTGAAGAGTTGTGTGACAAGAATGTATTTCAGCAATTATTTCCCCGCAGTTTGCTTGGAAGACACAGCAACAGATGTCAAACATTTTAACTACAAACCTTTTATTTCCTCTGATACCATCTCTCACTTGAACTCATTAAATAAATCTGCATCATTTTGGAAAAGACTGCCCTCCTTTGAAAGCAGCTTGGGACACAGATTGGCAGACAGTTATCCATGACTAAGTCTATATTGAAGCTAGCACTTTTGTTACCCAAACATGCTGAGTGTGTCCAGTTAACCCTTTCAACAATGCTTAGATAGTCATTGCAGTCCAACATGTTAAATTAAATAGTGAATACCTGATATTCATAAGACCTAGGCAGAGAACCTTCTAAGAAAGAACTGTGTATGTGCAGTCTTGCAGTTAGAACTGAGGTAATTAGTTTACCAGATATCCACAGTTCGGTAGCGTCTTTCATGTCAGCTTTTCCCTGGTTCATCATTTTTACCTTAACCTAAATGCGTGGTTATTACAACTAACACCATGATTTGTCTGGTCTAAAAACCTGTAGCAGAAACAATTACGGTAAAATGAATGATTATTCAAATGAAAGAGGCAAACAATGACACAAAAGAATACAATTAAAGTTACTAATACAATGCTTAGAAAATATAAATTATAAAAGATATTACATGAAATGAGTGACTAGGTTGGTTTATTATTTTTTTTCTTTTACATCATACATCATAACCTAAAGCAATAAAATTAAGAACTTAATCAACTAAATGCTGATTAAAGGTATGTTTTAAAGCCCTATTCAAAATGACTAACATGAGAATTTTTATTCTACTATACACATTACTCAGATGTCAAGTTGAATCGACCTTTTTCTTAATATTCTGAGCTTAAATTACTTGATCTATAGTTCTACTGCTTTTAAATCATTAAGCATGTTAATATTTAGAGTTAAAACAGCCCTGCTCTATAAAGCTACTGTAAAAGCTATTATATGCAGATATTTATTTAAGTTTTCATCTCATGGCTGTCCCTATTAATTGCGACTGGAAATATTTTGATAAAAAAATTATTATTTTTTTTTTTTCAGTGAGTTAAAGTTATACTCTTTAGACCATCTGACTGACAGTGTGCAGCAGCTGGTGGTGGAAAAGTGCCCCAATCTGTCGCTATATTCTGCTAATAACTTTCACTTTCTCTATCATGTCTTTTAACAATTCTAAAATGGTAGAAATGGTAAGTAAAGGAACATGTTCAGTAGTTTTTGGACAGTTATTGGTATCTTGAAGATGACACAGAACTAATATTAATCTCAAGTTCAGGGCTGTCTGCTGTCCTGCTAAGGGGTTTAATTGTGACTGAATTGTAGACATACTGAAGGGATGGGTTTAAAATCACAGGTACTTTTTGTTAATTCTGAAATTCTAATGATTGTTTTTATGTTGCATTTAGTGCACCTTAAGAGCAAAATAAGAATATACATTTATATGGGAAAAAAATGCTTGTTTTATTGCTGTTCTGTTGACATTATTTAGATACCCAGTTGAAATAGAAATTTAGTTTGCAATTTGATTAGTTTTTATTGTGCAGAATGAGGACATAGTAGCCTGACAGTGGTCATAATTTTTGGGATGATGATTTCTTATAGTTCATTGAAGGAATTGACGCCAATATATGAGATATAAAAAAAAAAAACATTTTTACAGTCTTCATACAGTGAGCATTCATTTAATACAGTTGCTGAAGTTTTTTCTTAAAATGAAGACACATTAATTATGGGGTTCACATTTTAAATGTTATTAGGGTTCTTTATGGTTGACACAGTTGCCATTACCATAATGCACACTCTCAGTTGTTCTGTATTTCTTTTTTAAATGAAGATCTCTACCCTTAAGGTATTCCAGCATTTTCAAATCCAGAACTTTTCAGCACATTTAGATCCCTGGATTGTATTTGGCCATCCTGTTATCTACCTAGGGTCTTGCTCTCACACAGCCTAATAGATAACAGATTTGTTGTCTCAAATATTTGTCTTTGGAAATATCTCAAACAGTACTCCTTTTTTTTCAAACAACACCTACGGTTAAGAGTGTTGTTGTCATCATGACCTGTCAGACCTTAAATGTGTTGTGTTTATTGATGGAAAAAAGATTTTCAGATTTTCCAATTCAACAGCCACCAGCAGGTTACCAATACTTAAAATTCAACCTATTCTGCTCATATGCTAGTTTCTAATGGATCTCTGATTATCATGTGTTAAAAAAAAAAAAAAAAAAAAAAACTCCAAAAAACAGATAGGTAGGTTATTGATCTCCTGAGGGATATTGATGTGTCAAAATAGCATCAGCAAAGTAATTTAAAACAAAACAGCTAGAAGAAAAATAATAAAAGTACATTTTCTGCTGCTTTTTCAACCTTCATGTTGTTACAGAACCTGTTCTCTGGACATATTTACTGAACCTGCTTCTAGGTTCAAATTAGTTTTCAAGCAAAATGTGTCAAACAACAGTCCAGTGATCAGATATAGATGTTTGTCTTTATTTGAGCATTTGCTAAAACAAACAAATCTAAAAAATTGACATTTTAACATAAACTGAAATGAAATGATAAGAGCTCCTTTACAAACAGGTGGAGATATACAGAGACATGTAATTGGATGATCTGGCAGATAGACTGATAAACAGAATAAAACAGAAAGGTAAAATCAAACACAAAACTATGGGACAATTTAGCAAGCAGTCCTTACCCACACTTACAATCAAACAGGTGCATGCTCAAACACACACTGACACACAGACACAAATCCACATGCACAAACCTGAGCCAAAGCCCTGTGGCGCGTTTGGGGAATACAAGTCTGGAAGCAGCTAGAAGGCATGCAGCTTCACATGGCTGCATGCAACAGACAGTCACACAAACTCATAGAATGTACTTTCAGGGGAGAGCCCCATGGGTATGAAAAGAAGCACAAGTACTAATGCAACAAGAGCGAGATATGCACAAACAAAGACTACTTCACAGAAATACACACAAGTCACCATTTTGGATGAGAGACGACCCTGGGACTGTCCCAATGGGAGTCACTCTCACACACTGTATTCACAGTACACATTCATACTGCAACGACACTGACATATGC